CACACTGTCGAGGATGGCAGCCAGGCGGCGGTTTGCAGAATGCAGCTTCAGGGAAGGATGACCTCCAGAGACTTGGTGTCCAGGCAAGGGGAGGGCGCTTTTGCCGTCACACGAGGTCAGCAATCCATTAGCAGAATTTCGCTCTTGATGTTGGTCAATATGTGTGTTCATCTCTGAGTCCAAATATGAATTGGTTGAAATTTGAGTTACGTGTTTGCTCAATTGCCCTTTTTCACACTTCGTAAGTCATTTAAAGCGGTGTGCAAATATAATGAATCCTAATGAATTTGAGAAGTCAATCATGTAGATGAAGTGCGGAAAATCCAGTGTGATGGGATCTTTATACCAATCGTTTGGTTGGTGGCCTCGAGGGTGAAAAAACCTTGTAGCCGGCTTTGATGCAAGCATGCAGCCAGCGCAACCTCACCAATATCACAAGAGGTACTGGAACCATATGTGCTTTTGTCAACATTGAGCTTGTCAAACAGCGAAGAGAGATCAACGAAATTGGCTTCACTGCGATTTTGAACTAGATGAGGCGGTTATTGGTATGATCTGACATTTAACGATAGTAAATGTTTCTCGTTGCAAAATCTTCTCGAATTGTCAATTCCACTGACACGAAGAGAGCACATGAACAAGGGAGTATTTTGATTCCAATATGTGGCCTGCCCATACCACCTTCCCCTTTCAGCAACTCAGGGAAGCACCCTAAGTCCTTCAATCGCTACTGTATGTCTAATGTTGTCTAATTTTGGTCTTGTCTGTAATGGGAAGAGATTGATTCCTGACGCATGCAAACTGATAATGGAGAATTCCTTGTGTCGCAATGAGAGTGAAAATTCAACATCGCCTAGAAGCATTGGGCAGCGCATAAAACGCTTCGAAGAGCTCAGACGGAATACGGCTGACGCCCCCGGTCACTTCTCTGCGGACGCAGTTTTTAAAATTTTGGAGGTGGCTCAAGAGCTCGTCATGAAACAGAAACAAGCGACGCAGAGAGAACTGTACTACAGAGTGAGTCGAGTTTCATCGGATGAACAACCTCTGTGGCTGCAATTTCATGTTGCAATATTCAGAGGGGAAAATTATCCTTTTCTTGCGAATTCGATTTCCGGACGCACAGCTGGGAAATTTGCTTTTCCTGCCCCAGTCGATTTCATTACACCGCATGACGCCCATGTAGGCCATTACAACCCAATGCGAAATTACTGGCGTCGTGAGAGAAGCAAATAACGTGCCGTGGGCTCCGAAGAGGACTGGATATTACATAACAATTTGCTCTGGCAGCTTGTCTTGAAGAGGTGTGACACTGACCGGGCCTCCCCGATGTCCCTGTAAACAGCCATCATCTCATATCTGGCTCAGGTGGTATGATAATTTCCCTACGGAATACGATGCCGAGAATGTCATTGAGTCTTCGTGCTTGGTCGTATTCAAAACGATACACTGATGTTGAATGATTGCTGTTTTACAAAAACAACAACTTTCAGCAATTCAAAGTGGTAAATTTAGATAGTTTATTGCCTCATTTGTTTGAAACATTGACAATGTTAATTTGTTTGTCGGCAAGAGCATCCGGCGTGCTCCACGGAATGCGCGCCGCCAAATTTGATGCCTATTATGACGTATTGGAGTATTGAGCGCCATATCAGCCTTTCTATTTAATTTCCCGTACTTCAAACCCTTCTTAAAAGGAATAGCAAACATCAGGAAATTGATATACTCAACGAAGGATTGAAAAAATTGTGCCATCAATACAGTGACAAACGGCCACGCAATGCCACAGCCTTTCGTCTGACACCTTGAAATTCTGTGCACAGCTCATTAAGCCTCCCGTATTCTCTTCTACCCGCGACGTAAACGAGGCCATTCAGGACGCCGTGGCGCTCCTGGGTGTGCCGCGTTCCAGCCTGGGGATTTGCTGCTCGGCCCGAGGCGCGGTTTCGGGACTGCTGCGCGTGAAGGACGGACCGGCGGGAGTCTGGCAGGTGCCGCTGCAGCCAGCATCTTAAGGTTTTCTGATTCAGGACGAATGATTCTGATCAATCACACTGATTCAGAGTACTATTTAAAATTGTGCAAATTGGTATGAATTTTAGATAAATTCAGAATTTCAACGCCTGCAAAATATCTATGCATGGAATGAGGATGCGGGTGACGGCCCGTCCAGTGCTTCCGACGCCATGCGCTGTGCTGGAAAGTGAAGAGAAAGGTTTATCAGCTTCATGAGCTCACAAATGCATGCTTCGTGAGTTCCACCTGAAAACTCACGGCACTACCTGCGTCCCTGCGCATCGCCTGCAGGACTGCGCCTCCACCGGCATCGCAGGGAAGCTCATCCCAGGGGACCCCTCGGCCATCGAGAGCATGAGGTTTCAATGCGACGCCAGGTGTGCATCTACCCATATCCGGTTATTTAATTTGTCTTTCGAGGGCTCCGCAGCACCTGGCACTGTGGGCCGAAGGATGGCAAATCATTTATTCTTATCTTGGAGCTGCGTCCAGAAACAAATCCACTCTACATGTTGATTAGCATAATTAAGTATACGATGCACAAATTTGCACTCCCAAAGACCCATTGCGAGTGGAATCACTCGTTAGGTGCAAGAGAAAGCGCCCGCCATTGTTTTGATGCCATTGAGATGGCGGAAATTTACATCATGTACTTTGCTGCTCTGAATGGCACTGTGTGCATCCCACGTTGACCGAAATGGCCTTCAAATTCTTGTGTTCGTTCCTCCGTAAAAATATTTTCCGTACATTAATATGGCCATGCTGCAACTGAATCACTTGATTCTGCCAATATTCCGAAGTGAAATTGGATGGTGTTTGGGGTGGATCCAGTTGGCAGTGAAGTCGACGTTGCGACGCACATGCAATCGTTGCGTTGAGCATTACACACGGGCACGTGAACACCCTGAATGCACGTTTCAAGCTGCTCGTGCCATTCTAAACATATCTGCCAAATGTATATGCAGGTAATTTACAACATATAATTTCTAAACATGCCTAAATAAAGAGGATTACTAAATTAAATCCATTTCGGCACAGATACGTGCTGGTGGTCGAGAAGGACGCGATATTCCAGCGCCTCACGGAGGACAGGTTCTTCGACATGGTGCCGTGCGTGATGGTGACGGGGAAAGGCATGCCGGACGTCGCGACCCGGATGTTTCTGAGGAAGCTGTGCGACTGCTTCCCGTGGATGACTGTCCTGGGGCTGGTGGACTGGAACCCTTCAGGCGTGGCGATACTGTCTGTGTACAAATATGGAAGCCACAGAATGGGCCTGGAGTCTCCAAGGTGGGGGTGGCACGAGTGGCGTTCCGGCTTCGGTTGGCGCATCGACGGTCAAGCACAAATGAGTGAAAATAAACAATAGTCTACTCAACACTAAGGAACTGGACTTGCTGTTACACAGTTCAATTTGCTCTTGATGCGCTTCTGACGCGGGTGTGTGGATCACGTTGCATTGGCGTATTCAAAACTATAGGAGAATTTCAAGACGTCAAATTCTTCATGTTGCATGTCTCTTATCGAGCATTGCGCATCGATAATGTCGAAAGGTGCTTTCGCTATCCTTTAAGCACAACTTCAGGAAACAGTCGTTTGAATTCAATGGCATTATTCAATTAGAACCGCATAATACAGAGCGTTTCATGTCGAATTTCGGGTTTGCAATTCCCTCAAAAGGCGCAACAACTGTGCGAGGGCACGCCTTGCTCATATTAGTACTGAACAAGTACTACGTCAGCACTTGACATCTTCCAAAAGCTGACCGTGACAATTTTTGCCTAGAAAAGCGAAAGTGGAGTATCCACAGGCCAATACATTAGAATATGTAGCCTTTTCATGAATTCAAACTTTCATCTTTTTTCGAAAATTCTTGACAACCATTTTGAGCATAACTAAGCATCTACTCGCATCCAGGAAATTTCCGAAGTTTTGAACGGTAACCTCGCACTTTACCATGCCATATTCCTCAAAGATGACTGAGGGAATGTTTATACGATAAACAAATCACAAAGTTGTATGTCCACTGGTGTTCCCATGTTGCAATAGACTGATTGGCTGATCCACTACTGGAATTACTAGATAGTTCACTGTAGTCAACAACAGTATTGATACAATATAGTGGCTGATTGCATGGTAAAGCCTGCCAATATTGTGCTGGAGATGAGAAATATTTTCTCATTTCCATGTGAAGCATTGTGCATACCATTGACGTACACATGGCTGCGTAAGCGGAGCTCACTCGAACATCTTTCGTCATATACCCAGATCACTTCTTGCGTATATCCCCGTTCGGATGCTTGCAAAGAGGTATCTGTGGGTGTGGCATCATTGAGAGCTGTCTTTCGAATTGATAAAATAAGATGTACTTGAATTTGTCGGTTCACCGCTAGCGCTCCCTCTCCATTTTGCCCGAGAACAGCAGTGTTGGGTTATCTATTGAGTGGAAGTTAAAGCGCCGTGGTGTTCACTGAACAGATCATACAGCACTGCTTTTCTCGGGCAGAATACACAGCGAGCGGTTGTATTAGTAGCCGTTCGATTTCCATTCAAGGATAATTCTCGCCTCGATATGATAGCTTTCGTAAATTGGATTGCTTGAATGACTGAACCGCCAATTGGCTGGTAGATTGAATAATAGTCCAGAAATATCGACTTGGGAAGTTCTGCATTGACTCCTGCTCGGCGACTTTCCACAGGTATGCCCTCCCGTCCCTGCGGTGGCTTGGAGTCCGTTCCCCCATGCTGCAACACGTGGATCCCGCGATGTTCCAGCCGCTGACTGCCCGAGACAGGGCCCTGTCTCGGACCCTGAGGTCCAGGCTCGCGCACGAGCCTTCGTGGGTGGAGGAAATCTGCAGCATGGACGAAACCGGACGGAAGGCGGAAATTGAGGCGGCGTACAACGTGCACGGCTTCGATGGGCTGGCCGCCGCCCTGACCAGAAGCATTTTGAGGCGCGAATACATTCCCTAGAAAAGCAAGGAAATACTCTGGTGGTGATGCATGTGATTTGACCACGGACATAGGAGAGCGTGATTCCAATTTCAGAGTCAATGGCGTGCATTTCCTTTTTCCGAAATATATTTGTGCACATTGGGATTTCGGCCTGAATGGTTGGTGCTGCGCACACAGGGTAGCTTACCCACTATTGTGTCAGGGGGGTTGTGTAAATCAGCCTTGTTGGAATGCAAGGAGCTCCCTGCAAGATCATGGAGCTCTTCGGAAACTGCTTCAAAGATTTTCCAAGCGTATGGTCAAGTTCTGGAAATGGAACTCATGCAGTCTTGGCTCACACGACCTTCAGTGGCAGCCCTTACATTCCCCAGTAGGGGGCAGGGGGATAAGATGTATCAGGCTGCCTCCCGCTTGCAACGCGCCCTCCAGCGCCCATGGCGGTCGATCACCTGCAACAGCGGTGTTCAGACGTGGCCTTTTAAGTGATCAAGAGGTACGCCTTCCGCTGGTCGACAACGACACCCAGCCTGTTCCCTTGATCCTGCAGACGCTCTGACGTGATGCCAAGCTGAGAAGAGATTGGGAAACGCTCACTAAGCGAAGCATCGAACGATATACGCATGGACAAACTACGTCATATAACCATATTGCCAAAAGGTCAAAGGTGTTCTGATAGGCCCATCACGCTACATCTATGTCCCAACTAACTCAGATCTCCTAAGGATCAGTCAGGAACCAGTGGAATACACCCGAATAGAAGCTGCCCCCTGTACGCTGCAGCCCTCAAATTCCTCGCACCATCGCTCCAACTGCATGCCACATTACCCATGAAGAGCACAACAAATTTTTAGTGGTTTTAGCTGGGCCAAAATCTAGCTTGCATATTTTAGAAGCGACCTATTTCTCAAAAAGTTTGACAGCAGAGAGAGGCGACCCTCCCGTGCGCCTCCAACATTCTGGTCATTAACGATCGGCCTTGCGCTTCATGTGTCCTCTCATCCACGTGTCAATGTTGTCCCTGTCGACTCGCGTTATGGCGCTGAAGTCGAGCGATCTCAAGGTCGGCACGTGTCCCACAACGTGGTCCCTATAGTGAGGCAGCTCGTTGACGGGATTGCCGTGGAGGGTCAGCTTCTGCAAATTGGTCAGGCTGCTCAGCTTTCGGACATCCGAGAGTCTGCCGATTTCGTTTCCATGCAGGTAGAGTACCTGGATGGCCACCCACATGGTCATGAGGTGCTTTGCGAAGTGCGAAATATTAGGAAGACAGAAGCATATAAATGCTAAATTAACATTAAAATAGTCTGAGTTAGATTCAAACTTCATACAAAATGGCCTGAACTGTTGTTGCAGTATACGGAAATGCGATCAACACTAACACTGTGGACCACTGAACGATTTTTAGATGCGCTTGGTGTTTGAGTAAAATACGTTAAAACCCCAGAAAACAACGTACCAGAAAGCAGGTATATACTTGCTTTCTGCTACATAGATTTCTGTGGTTGCTGCCGCCACCTTGAAAAGTAACAACGGTGCAAAATGGTAGCCTTCAGTTCCCTACTTCTGTGTTGCCTATTCCGCAATCGCTTCCTACTTCCAATATTTGATGGCTGCACGGATATTACACATCCCCGACTCATGTAGAAGTCTTGCATAGGGTGAAAAGCAACTTGACGGCGCTGCGCGGATTGGGCAAAAATGATTTCAAGAATAAAGGAACAGGTATTGATCGAGGCGCGAATCGGTTGTTGCTCCTGCGCATGTTTAAAGAATGAATTCCAAAAATGTGAAGATCTCCTTAATTTTCCCTTCTATCAATGGCCTGCCGCCAAAACGACATTCGGCTTAACATGACCAGTGGATCTTCAAAATGGATCTTTGGTGCTTGAGGAATAATTACTAATGCGATCGACGTGACTAACATGGATAGCAGAAAATCACCTGGAGCCCGGGGAACTTCGAGAGGATGCCGTCCACGGATGTCAGCTTGTTGCAGGACACGTCCAGCCAGACGAGGTCCGCGGGGTCATTCAGAATCTTTTCAGCCACTTCATGCAGTCCCCTCAGGGACGTCAGGCTGTTGTTGGAGAGCTTGAGCACCATGGAGTTCGGACAGCCCCTGGCCCCCGGGGGCGGCTCCTCCGAGGCGGTGGTCGCCAAGGCCATGGAGCCGTCCGTGTCCTTTGTTCGCCGAAGGGGGGCCGATTTCGTCACGCCGCTGGAGGGAGACTCGTACAGAATGTCTGGAGGCAAAGGGAGGGGTGTGAGCCTGGCCGGGTCTGAGAGACGATCGCAAAAATCTACCACGCAATGACTGCAACATTTTAAAAGTACAATTAATAACTGGTTCGAGACTTGAATGCCATGGGGCAAATTTTTCAGAAAATCAGCAGCTGTAGCAAAGTGGACGTGAGCAACTGCGGGCCAGATTATTTCGAGTGAAGGCCCTGCATTGCGCGGCATCGTGCCAACACAATCCAGCCATTTGGGTTCTCTCAGGGTGTAGCTGTCAGAGGATACCAGTCCAGCAGGTGGTCTTGGGCACGCAGCATTGAAGGCAACCGAAATTGCGATAGTTGCAATGATAAATGTGGGATGCATCTGTAAGATAAAAATTTTCAGGGCTGCTGTGCAATCCGAATGGTGGAGCGAAATAGAACCGCACTGCCTGAGAATTACAGCCGAAACCGGCCTTCTTGAAGACGCTACATTTTACATTTATTTGCGCAAATGACTGCTAGTCTTGAGCTAATTAAATGAATAAAACAGCATAACATTATTGAACGGCTATTGCAATAACCTTTGGTTTTGCTGCTGCACATTCATGAACATATTCACATTTTGCGCAATTAAATTGAACCCCAACTTGCAGCCTTCGTTTTATTTATTCCTAACTTGAAATTTCTGGACCAAAAGCTGTTGATGAGATTGCCAACTCCGCAACTTTGAATGGGTAACGAAAGCCTTTTATATCTTTGCGTCAAACGCAATCGGATTTACTGCTTCTCTCTCTGATTCTTTCTTATATCCAGGTACACAGCCGTGTTGCATCTGCGGAAGAGGAGGGTGTCATTATTGTGAAGGTTCAACAGGACTTTTTGCTGAAGCATCGCTGACTGCCCCTGCGGCTCATCGTTCGATATCGTTGGCGACTGTGGCTGGCGCGTGTGAACCGTGGCGGGAATGCTGCCTCCGAGATAGAGACGTTTAGAGGCGCATTCAGAAGCCGTTTCCAAACGTGCGATTGGCTCGGTGACGCGCTTCCCAGCCCCAGAAGTCACAAAAGAGCGTCAGGGACATTTCGCCCCAGCACCCTTTTCTCGGTGCCCCTGAAGTCAAGCATCAGAGACGCTTTGCACCTGTTATTACAACCTAAAACTTGAATGCTGCACTACCTTCGATGCTGCGGAGATCTTTGAAGGAATAACACAACGGCGGAACCATGGCAGGTCTCTCGTTCAGCTTCTGCATTTGCGTCCTTCTCTGCTGAAGAAAAGCTGGCGTCTCCCACTAGGGTCTTTCAGGGAGCGGTGGCGGAGCACTCTGCGTTCACCAAAATGCACTGTTAGAGCAAGTCGGCATTCAAGGCATGATGCATTCGCGAGACGGGCGTTGAGCTCCAGTGGAAACTTCTCGCAACGCGAGACATCTTGCAGTTCGTGCGTGAAGACGATTTCCCAGTCCAACATGCGCCTGCACCTTCAGCAAAATTTGTTGGACCATGCTAGTATACCAGCAGCAAAAGAGCGCCTTAGTTATACTAGGTCTGCATCTTAACGTGCTGCGTGCACGCGCCCCCAAATAAAACCTGCTGTTCTGCAGCATGTCGTAGCGCGTCGCTCCTCTTCCACAAGCGACCAAGTGATGATGTCTTGCAAATGTAGCAAAACTCGAATGCCGAGAATTTTCGAAATGCGCAAGAAAGAAACAAAAACGGGGAATATTCCGTCCTGTCGTTTGCCGCCCCTTTGCAAAGGTCTCCAATTGGAGACCCGCGCTTCAAGGAAGGCGTCAGAAGGCACCTGGCCGGCGCGACCGACAACGCGCCCTGCCCTCGAACACACAACACGGATCTCTCCAAGCGCACAACACCGCGACCACCGGCGCACACTGCCCTCTGTCCCCCGTCCAAGCCGTCGCAGCCCAGCTGCCCCTCCCGCCCCCTGCAAGCTCAGCCAGGCAACAGCCAGACGACTACCGCCAATCTCGGAGCCCGGCCATCCATGCCCCGCCGGACACATCCACAGCATCACCCAGCTCCCGCCACGCGTTCGCGCACTCGCGACCCAGTCCTGGCTGCGCACCTGCGGCCCTGCCGCGATCTCCGGCTCCAGGCCCGCCGGGATCGGTCCGGGCGGCGTGCGCCCGTCGGGGACCTTGCGGGCGGGGCTCGCCGCGAGCTGACGAACCGACCGGTCGCGACGGGCGCCCGCGGGCACCCGCACATGTCGCGGCTGTCTCGGCGCGCCCGCCGGGCGTTTCTGGAGCCTGACGTCCGGCACCTAGCGCCCCTGCAGAGGTTTAATCGGGGCGCGGGTATGGAAGGGGTCATTTGAAGGCGGTGCGCAGCGTTAGGACCTACATTGGGGTGCGGGTGTCCGAATTCAGCACCCGGGTGGTGGGGCGGGGGGTGGGGTCTTTTCCGTGAAGATCCCTTCTTGTTTTGGACGCCCTAAGCCTTGTCAGCGGAAGAAGTAGGGATCGTCACGGAAAACAGAGGAACTGATATATTGTCGTGGGTGGGGCGCGGGAAATAATATTACTGCCTGCACCAAATCGGTGACTGCTTGCACCAAGTCACGTGCACACTTTGTCCTAACCTCAGTTTTAGGGTTAGGTTTAGTTCAGGGTGAGTTTTAGGGTTAGGGTTAGGGTTAGGGTTAGGACAGGTTTAGGATTAGGTTTTAGGGTTTAGGTTTTAGGTTAGGTCAGTTTTGACGGAGTTGGACATGATGTGCACGTGACTTGGTGCAAGCAGTCACCGTTTTCGTGCAAGCAGTCACCGATTTGATGCAGGGAGTAATTTTATGCCGGGGCGCGGGGTGGTGGTGATGGTAAATGTGCACCGTTCGCCGGCTTCGGTGCAACTGAGCAGCTCGGTGATCCCTCTCGAGGACGCGGCGCTAGCCCCTCGCCGTCATCATCATATTCACCATCGTCATCGGCGATTCTTGCGTAGCAAGGCGAGGAGGTAGCCGTCAGCCAGCCCCTCCCCCTCGCATCAACTGCCATTTGTTGGGACAAATACTGCCGTGATAACGGTGGAATCCCTGTCCTGCTGCCAAATACTGTTCCTTGGTCAGCCCTTCGGGATTTTAGAAATCGACTGCCGCTTTTCAAGGCGTCGCCTGCGAAACTGGGGCCCCTTGGGTTCAAACGAAGCGATGCGACCCTGGCTCACACTTTGTGGCATTGGACTTTGGGATCAGCTGCCTCACTGGGTACATCACCCCCTGTATTCGCAGCAACAAGCGTGCATCCCTGAGACGTTTAATGTGCTCTTCTAGATTGCCAGGACAGTAGGACATCTACATTGCCATGCCGAATGGCTGAAAATTCTGCAATTGATGTGCAAGGGATGCTCACAGGGTGCACACGCCATCGTTTGGTTCTGGCAACTGGTGCACTGGCTTGTTGCTATACATGGGTGTCATCGATGATAAATGCTGCCACGACACATCCCCAATCCAGCCCAGTGACTTGTGGCTTGTGGACAAAAATTGCGATTGCATCTATGGACCAAACAGAATTTCTGCATGCAGAGCCAAGGTGAACCTCATCTGGGCAGCATAACAGCGAAATTTCGACGGTAACTGGTGCAACTTAGAATCAAACTGTAGTTTAGCATTCAAGAGGCTCCCATGGCTGCATGTTCGTCTTTCCACCACAAACGCCCTTGGCCATCGCTCGCGGCTCAGTCCTCCAAAAAACCCTGAATTCCAAAAGAATATTGAGCTCATTCGTTTCAGCGCTAACACACCCCTCCTACATTTGTCAACAACAGATCATGGACGCTGTGGATCGTCAACACCTTACCTCAGAACGGCATCAGTCACCCTGTTGCGCAGATTCGCTGCCGAGTCGGGAAGCCCAATCGTGGAGAATCATCAGTTCATTCCTACAGCTGCCCTCACCCCCACTTTCGGACAGGCAACAGGCCTGTCTCCATGGGTGCACCCATTCCCTTCCCAAGAAGGGCCCAGCAGCGTCCACCTTACTCGTAAGTGGGGCATCTGCTCCCCCACCCAGACGCCAATGCAGAACCACATCTGGGAGTTCACCATTCCCTTCCAGCAGGCATCTGATAGACATCACGACTGCTCTTGAGCAGCAGCCCCACTCCCCGATTCAGGAGGGCAGGAAGTGGCATCCTGTGCAGCACCGGATGCGCTCCCCTGCGCACGGAGGGCGTCGAGCCTCTCCTGCTCCTTCAGGTGATTGATCCCGTAGTAGTTCCTCTCCTCCTCAGTCTGCTCCACCTCCTCCACGGTCAGCCTGTCGTCCTGGGATGGGTCTTCGCACAGGGGGGCGATGAAGGAGTTGGCCAGGGGGTCACGGATCACAAGCGTCCACTTGCGCTCCAGTTTGGCGCAGCTCTCGAGCTCCTCAAGGAAGTGGGTGAACTTGGCGCGAACCACCTCGTCAGCACTGTCGCCTAGTTGGAAGACGCACAATCTGCAAAAGAGTATGACAAATGCCTATCTTTGGTACAAACGAGGGCTTTAAAGTGTTAGGCCAAAGTAACAATTCGGCCAGTCCCAATCACAATCTGTCATGATCCTACACAAGATTGGGCATAGGTGACAGAGCATGCGCCTGCTGCGAAACGTGTGGGATGCACTGGGATGCACAATCCATGGCCAGTCCAGATGTCCTGCAGCATTTCGTGCTTGTGTTGCTGTTGACAATACAGCTGCACAGGGAAGCAGCTTTAAAAGAAGAGGCAGCAGACACAATAATTGCAACATGGCAGCTATCCTTGAAACAGTTTTGGGCCAACTGGTACATGCTGACATGGTTCTTACAAAATGGGCTGCCAAGATATGCGCATAGCGACGCTGCAAGAAAGCATACAGCACTCAAATGCAAGGCGAAACACAGGCCATTCCCTGGCTGCAATCACTATTGCCATTGCAAAAAAAATATTGAAAATGGACAATCAATTCCTGCTTTGTGAAGTCAGGGGATTACCCTTGGGGGCTGAGAGCTGTGGTGGTGTGTATATGTGGGTGGGCCGGTGGAAGGTGAGCATCTGCTTTCATCATCCACGTTCCCAGCTTGGGAACAGTTTCATTTCAAACTGCAGATTGAAATTTTTCGCACTGCCAAGTGCTGCAAGGTGTCTCACTTCTTCATCTCCTCGATGACTGACATGACCAAGCCCTCCACTGTGGTGATGATACTCTGGAGTCCACCAGCACCCATTGCAAATTCCAATTCTGGAATCTCAATGTCGCCACTGTGTGACTTGATTACATCGCGATTCAAATCCCCAACCTCCTCGACCTTCAGCACAAGTTTCCTGCCACACTCGGTCAGGCCACCTCCTGGGCGCAGCTCAGAGTTCTTGTAGCCACAGGAGTCACAGGCATTGGACATTACTATGACCTGAGCCACAAAGGTTCGAAAGAGAATCAGTGCATAAGCACATCCCCTTTGCAGCACTAGCCTGACTGATGACAGTCTCATATGCAATGTGAGACTACTGTGCGTCAGTCCGCTTGAGCTGTGAATTATATAAGTCAAGCACAAAGGGGATGCCTGGATACAGTAGTGCAGCACATGGATGGTCATTTGAACACTGCTGATGCAGATCTCCTGCCAAGAACAGGATCTTTTTCAACAGGTTGATGAGAATAGCTTGAGGGAGATAGTGACAAAGCTGATCGTCAGGACAACATCATTTACGTCACTGATTCAAGCCAAGCCAGGAATGCTTGGTGGGAATACAGCAGCAATTCTTCAACTAAACTAAATGCGAGGGCACTCATGGCCCTAGGTGTGCGCAGCCAAAGTTGTTGTCAACAAGGGGCGCTGTGCACTTGCTGACCACTTGGCAGCAAAAATCAAGAATAGAGAAGCATGGCTTCGCAACACAGCGCAATGGAACAATGCCCCATGAAGTGACCAGGCAGATGCACATGCTGTCAGCTGCAGCACAGAAACCTGACTGCCAGCTGCCACCAGAGAATCAAGGACAGTGTCATTTGTCATCTCACCAACCACGAACCTCCTTGAAATAAGGTATGGTGATGGGAAACATCCTTGTTTCGCCAGCAACGCCACATGCAAGGCACTGGCCCGGCAGAATCAAGACTTCCTCTGGAGCAGCCGCATAAGCATTCAAAAATGAATCCTCATAGCTTCCCTCCAAGCGTGCAATGGTCGCAGGGGATTGTGCTGTGCCTCTGGCATGAGGCCCATGATGGGGATCACTGGGCGGGCTGGTGGGACCTGGCAGCAGCAGTCACACTTGCCATTTCAATTCTGCTCACTCAGCAGCCAGCAGGGGCAACTGGCCATATTTTTCTTTGACAGCAAGTGCAGATTGGTGCACAGAAGTGCATTTTCACAACCCAAACTCCAGAATGGGCACACTGGTTCTGCTGTGACTCTGCTGGGACGATATGTTCCCTCCAATGGCCAATGTGCAATAATAACAAAAAAACATACTCTCCTCCTTTGTATCACAAGGCCAACGACAGAGGCAGCACAGTGGGCACCCTCACATGTAACCAGTTGGCATCACATCGCTGTTTTCCTACTGCACAAAGAGACTATCCCATCAACCCTTACAGCACAGAAAGTATTCTTGAGCTATTGTCCCAAAATTAGATGCTCATTGCATGAGATTCTCCTCCTCAAAATCAATAGCATGCCAGCCTGGGGCTACATATGACTCACGCTCACGGCCAGGTTCATCGTCTGGGGTAAGTAAGCCTATTTCCTCCTGTTGCTCTTTTGTTCGCTCATATTTCGCTGCTGTCAGCTGGGGGTCAGTCTCCAGGGAGTCGCCAGTAAACTCGATGAAGCTGTTGCCAGCAGGGTCGTCCAGGATCAGGGTGAAACCTTCCTCTCCCAAGCTGCACTTCTCTAGTCTTGAGCAGAAGCCATCGATCTTGTCTGCATTGATAGGATCCACACGCCTGCGGACTTCCTGCAGGGCCTGAAGGTTTTCCAGGGCTCGCCTGCAGAATTCAGTCAATAAAATTTGTCCACAGAATTCAAAGACGAATTTGCCATGTTCGCATTTATGGCAGTTGCTGCGCCCAGTCTGTTGGGACCCTCAAAATGCAGGATTCCAAAGGTTGTGCAGCTTCGGACATTGACAGTGTGGAATGTACACACTATCTGCACCATTTACCGCTAACTCGATGCTGGAGCAGCTTTGAACGTTCTGTCATAGCAGGTCAACAGAGCAGCCAGCCATACCCGGAACTGGCTATCTGCATGGCAACAATGGCACAATGTTCCTTCCAGAGATGATAGAGTGTTAGTGTCCCAACACACAATTATCGTAAGCCAAAAATCAGCACACTGCTTGGTTGCTGTGGTACCCACTATCGCCTTTCCAGGTGCACGGACCTTGCTTTGTCTTATGCTTTGACAATATCAGCAAACAGAATTGACACATACAAATCAACAAAAATCTCCAGCACAAGGTGCATGTCCCACCCATATCAAGAAGAACATGCCATTCCTTGCAGAGCAAGGTCTGGTGTAGTCAGTGGATGTTGAACACACTGTCCAACCACTGTCAAGAACTGCCCAAGCAGGCCCAAGCAGCCCCAACACAACAAACAATCAACATTAACACACAATGGTGAGTCAGCGCACTCCACTGTGCTCAACAACAACGCACCTGAGCATTCCTTCCACTGTGGACAGTACTCCCTTCTGCGTGTGCGATGGGATCTCAAATTCAAGCTCTGGAACCAAAATAGTAGCTGAATCTGCTTTGACGACCTGCCGCGACAGGGCCTCTGCCGAGCCAGCGGGCACGGACAGGGTGTACCTGACACCTTCATCAGCGATGGTGGCAGCCGGCTGCAGTTCATTGTTCC